AATAGCTAGGGAGCAGGCGAAGTTTAGCTGAGGAATACCTCCCTTGAGAGCAGCGGGTAGTGAGGCCGTTACCTCTTCGGGTGTGAAGCTGTAACGGGGGTTTAAGAGTTAATAAATGGTGTCACCTCTACATCAAAGTTTCCGAGTCCCAGCAAGTATCTACACGTGTATTGAGCTCAGTGGGAGACGTGTACAGGCGCCCCAGCAAACGTGGAGCTGTTGGCCCAACGTTGGACCAACGGTTCCAACCACATGCCAACGTTGGCTCAACGTTGCATGTTTACTGGGTTTGAATTAAAATGTTGTTTTCTCGATGGAGTAATTTCTGCCCTTTTATATTATTTTAGTGGCGGACCTATACAGTACATGGGTCGCCTTGCATATCTAAATAATATTTATTGATTCAACAACAACAACGCAAAGCATCGCCGTGCCAGGGATGTCGGAGTTTCCCTCCCGTCAACAAACACCGGTGCCGGATGGATTATCTCCACACATATTCTGCTCTTGGTTGTGGCGCGTGCCTTTGATGTTCGGAATGACGAGCACGCGTCAGCCGTGGTAATAACACAAGGTCGGCCGCCTGTTTTGTAAACGTAAGAAAATCGCAAGAACAGGAAAATTGTGCATCGCCAAAGGCATGCACGGTTTCAAGTTTCAGGTGTGTGAGTCTATATGTGTGTGTGCGTCGATATGTGAGTGTGTAAGTCGATGTGTGTGTGTGTGACTCGATAAGTCAATGTGTCTGTGTGCATCGATTTATGTGTGTGTGTACGTCCATGTGTGTTAAGGCTATATGGGGGATTTCTTGTGTATATAAGTCGATGTGTGTGTGCAGGTCGATGTGTCTGTGTGTGTTGGTCGATATGTGTGTGTGTGCAAGTCCATATGTTTGTGTGTGTGTGTAGTTCCATGTGTGTGTGAGTCTATGTGTGTGTGTGTGCGTCGATGTGAGTGTGTACGTCGATGTGTGTGTATGTCGATATATGTGTGTGTGAGTCTGTGTGTGTGTTAGTCGATATGTGTGTTTGTGATAGTCCTTATGTGTGTGTGTGTAGGTCCATGTGCGTGTAAGTTGATGTGTGTGTGTGACTCGATAAGTCAACGTGTCTGTGTGCGTCTATGTGTGTGTGCGTAAGTCGATGTGTGTGTCGATATATGTGTGTGTACGTCCGTCCGTGTGTGTATATATAAGTCGATGTGTGTGTGTGTGCAGGTCGATGTGTCTGTGTGTGTTACTAGATATGTGTGTGTAAGTCCATATGTTTGTGTGTGTGTAGTTACATGTGTGTGTCAGTCTATATGTGTGTGTGTGTCGATATGTGAGTGTGTAAGTCGATGTGTGTGTGAGTCGATAAGTCAATGTGTCTGTGTGCGTCTATGTGTGTGTGCGTCAATATCTGTGTGTGTGTGAGTTCATGTGTATGTGTCTTAGTCGATTGTCTGTTAGTCGATATGTCTGTTTGCGTTAGTCGATGTGTGTGTGTGTGTAAGTCCATATGTGTGTGTGTTGGTTGATGTGTGTGTGTATATATGTCCGTGTGTGTATAATTCGATGTGTGTATGTCAGTAGATGTGTGTGTGTAAGTCGATGTGTTTGTGTGTGCGTCGATGTGTGTGTGTGTCAGTCGATGTGTGTGTGTTAGTCAATGTGTGTGCGTGGGGTGTGTGTAGACAACTAATATTTAACAATTAAGTTAGTAATTTTTACAATAATAATGTGTGTCTAAGTATGTGTGCGTGTGAGTCAATGTGCGTGTCTGCGTCGATGTGCGTGTCTGCGTCGATGTGTGTGTAAGTTGATGTGTGTGCGTGGGTCCATGTGCGTGTGTCTTAGTCGATATGTGTGTGTGTAAGTCGATTTGTGTGAGTCGATAAGTCAATCTGTCTGTGTGCATCTATGTGTGTGTGCGTCGATATATGTGTGTGTGAGTCCATGTGTGTGTGTGAGTCGATTGTGTGTTAGTCGATATATCTGTGCGTTATTCCATGTATGTGTGTGTGAGTCCGTGTGTGTGTAAGTTTATGTGTGTGTGTAAGTCTATGTGTGTGTGTAAGTCGCTGTGTGTGTAATTCGATCTGTGTGTGTAAGTGGATGTGTGTGTAAGTCGATGTGTAAGTGGATGTGTGTGTAAGTCGATGTGTGAGTCGATGTGTGTGTGAATCTATATGTGTATGTCCATATGTGTGTAAGTCGATGTGTGTGTTTGAGTTCATATGTGTGTGTGCATATGTCGATGTGTGTGCGTAAGTCGATGTGTGTGTTAGTCAATGTGTGTGCGTGGTGTGTGTTTAGACAACTAATAATTTCAAATTAAGTTCCTTTTACAATAATGTGTGTCTAAGTCCATGTGTGCGTGTGAGTCGATGTGCGTGTGTAAGTCGATGTGTGTAAGTCTATGTGTGTCAGTCGATGTGTGTGTGTACGGCGATGTGTCTGTGTGTGTGAGTCCATGTGTGTGTGTGCGTCGATATGTGTGTGTGTACAGTAAGTCCATATGTGTGTGTATAAGTCTACGTGTGTGTGTGAGTCGATGTGTGTGTGTAATGGTTCTATAGAGTCGCACACACTGAACTTGGGAGGCAACACTATTTATTATTAACACAACAGGTAACTCTTAACATAGGGTGGTGACCACCAACCTAGCCTCGCTAACACACACCATCACTCGCTAAAACTGACTCTCTGATACGACGCGCGTGGCAAAGCCAGGAGGCTACTGGTTGACCACGCTGACTTGAGGCTTGGCTCTTCTTCTTCACGAGGCGTCTTCATGAGGCATCTTCATCCCGGACCCGAGCAGCCTCGAACCCGGTGCAGAGGCCGCTTATATGCGCCTCGGCGTGTCCGGGCCACACCCCAGCCACGCCCACCTTCGAGAACTCTCGAGTAGGCTCTTCTCCTGTCCACGTGGCCCCCAAGGTGCCCCCGGGGTCCCCGGTCCCCACCTTGATCCTTTGATCCGGTCACGTGTCCAGCCGGGTTCATCCAGAGTGCCACGGCCTCACACAACCCCTGCGGTACTGACCCACGGCCTCCAGACCCCCCCGAACCGGCCGTGCCGTCATTCCCGCATCCAGACGTGATGACGTCATGTGTGTGTGTGGACCCGCGTGGTAGTGACGCTCCCCCGCGTAGTTCGCCACGCATGTGTGTGTGTAGGTCCACACGGTAGTGATGCTACAAGTCACTACATGTGTAAGTCCATGTGTGTGTGTCTAAAGTCGATGTCTGTGTGTGTGAGTCCATGTGTGTGTGTGTAAGTCGATGTGTTTCTACGTGTGTGGGTCGATGTCTGTGTGTAAGTCGATGTGTGTATCTGTCTTTTTTGCCCAGGCAACGCCGGGTACTTCCTGCTAGTATAATATATATGCTGAACTTCTTTAGCACCATACATAGCCCAACCATGCTAATTGGCGGTGCAGGGAAATGGAGACGGGGGAAGGAGATGGCAGGAAGGAGATGGCAGGAGGCAGATGGAGGAAAGAGATGGGGGGGGGGAAGGAGACGCGGAGAAGGAAATGGGAGGAAGGAGATGGGGGAGGGAGACAGGAGGAGGGAGATCGGAGGAGGGAGACGGGCAGGTCGGACATGTGGGGAGTGGGATGGGAGGAGGGAGACGTGGGGAGACGTGTGGGAAGGGAGACGTGGGGGGGAGACGTGGGGGGGGGGGAGACCTGGGGGGAGAGACGTGGGGGGAAGGATATGGGGGAAAAGAGATGGGGGGGAGGGAGATGGGGGGAGGGAGACGGGATGTAGAGAAAGAGGAAGGTGGGAGGAGGGACACACTGATTTGAGTGGAGACACCGTTGCTTTTATTCATTCCCAAAACGTACGTGCCGCGTTTCATTGGGGTGGGGAGTGGCAGCGCTACGAACCCGGTTCCTTGATTTGATTTACTGCCGACATCAGTGGCGAGTGATACGTGAAATGGTTCAGGGGTTCCTCGCACTCACCAGATTGGTGAAGTACGGTCAAACAACCAACCAGCATTCACACGCCGTTGAGAAAGCCTTCAGCAGTAGTCGAGTTTAATTTGGTTGACCAGGAGAGAAATGGAGAGACCAGGATGAGTCTAAATCGCACGAGTGAGGACCTGGGGTTGTCACCAAAACTATTGTTGTTTGCTGGCCCAAGTCTCCCTTGACAGAGATCTGCATGGCTCTCTGGCTTCTGACTTCCAACAAAATCAAAACAATTCTCGTAGATCGACGCAGGGCTGTACACATGCACGTGGTTACCTTTAGTGGTTTGGGCCTGGTTTACTTGCTAACATCTACGACTGTGTCAACGTACGCCAGATATTTTGTGAATCCATGCCGGTATCTGCTCCACGAAACGATGAAGGAAGTGCTTGCATCTAATTTGCATCTCTTCATGTTCGACACGGTCATATCACACGGTAATACTTATTTGTTACACAAACTCGGAGGCGCTTTGATGCCCGACGTTTTGCACCACGCGCTGGGAGCTTATTCAGGGGTTGACTTTATACCAATGGGTGGACGGAGGCAGGGCTCCTGGCCATTGCAGCGCTGTGGCGGCGTCCCCGTAATGTAAACGTGGAAAGGAAATAAGTTGTGAAATATCAATATTTTGCGTGCGACGTGCAAAGCACGCCTACCTCCAAAGGAGGAGTCGACTGATTGGTTGACGGGCGCGCTCCTCAACTCAAGGAGCGGTGACGTAGCCCAGCATTCGCACGTGTCGTTGCTTGTCGCAGGCTTTCGCGGTTCGAATCCGGCAGGATGTTGCTGGTTGATTCTGCGGTTGTGCGCGTGAAACGTAATGTACCACACGCATGCCGTCCGTGAGACGACGCGTAGCAACATCGCCCCCCCCCCTACTGCCACCGCGAAATCGCTGCTGACTGTATGTGTTTGTGAAACACTGCGCCTTCACGATAGTGCCCACGCTATGAGAACAGCGTAATTACCAGATCTACTGATGGCTTGAAGCTGATAAGGTGCTGAGTGGTTCTCCTCCTCTCGTCATGTAGAATCGCGCAAGGCACAGAAGGGTCGCGCCCATTCTGCCTGTCACGATGGCAGAGGAGTCTGGCATCGACCGCACTGCCGGTGAGTTCCCCCGTCATACCAACAAGCCCGCCGCATGCCACATTTCCTTTGACGGTATCTGGCCGACCCGACTGGGGTGAGGTTCCTCGTGATAATATTAATAATGATCAAGAAAACCCTCTGAGCAAGTTCTTATGAATCTGTTACGGAGTCCCCGCTATTTGAGGGCATGTTAGCTGGACTGCGCCAAACTCGGTAAATGTATTCTGGTAACGAATGCGCCATCATTTATGCCCGGGCCGACTTACAGTTTAAGAAATTGACTTTAGTAAAACGTGGCCTCTGCGACGGTCAATGTCCCCCATCTACCCCCTTTGTGTTGCCCTTTGTAGCGGCCAGAACGGCAGATTGCCGCAGGCTCAGCGGCCACGTGGGGATACGCAGCATGGTTGACCTTCCCCTGGCCACGCGGCCCGTGAGCGGGACGAGGAGGCAGGACGGTGGGCCACCCGGGGACGACGCCGGCTTGGCGTGCTGGCGCGGTCAGAACAGAAGGGCCCCCTACGGGAGAGGCGCCTGCAAACCGAGAGGCGGCGGCGGCCGGGGCAGGGGCAGAGGGTGCCGTGAAGCCGCCGAGGTCCGGGAGGGCCGGCCGCAACGTCCGGAGGGCCGAGCTGAGCTGGATCTTGTTAGGGGGCGGGCCGGCAGCCAGCCTAGGCGCGGAGGGTCGCACGTCCAGCGCGGAGAAAGCAACGGTAGGGGTCGGCGGAACAGCTCGTCCGTGCCGCGAGAGCTGCGGGCCGAGCTGGAGGAGGAGCGTCCCATAGGCTTCAAGGCCCTGGAAGCCTTTCTGGAGGCAGAGCCTGGGGAGATTGCACTGCGCCTGAGCACGCCACGCTCAGGCCTGAGGCCGCTGCTCAAGTTGGAGGTCATCCGGAAGGATTTGCTGGAGCTGCTTATCAGGGTCGTCGGCAGGGCCAGCACGTCCAAAACCAACCGACAGAGCCACTTTTGCCTCGTGGGACTCGTGAAGGACTCCAAGTTCTTGAAGCTCGTGCTGCCCATTTTCATCACCTCCATGCAGGAAGAGAGCTCACCTGCGCGCACCGCCCTCTACCCGGTGCTGGTCTCCTCCATGCTGGACATAGCCAGCGCGCTGCTCGCCGTCTTCCCCAGCAGCTCCATCGCTGAGGCGTCGTTGCTGCTCACGGTGCTCAACGCCACCGTGACTGCGCTGTGCCATGGCGGCGATCGCTCCCTGGAGGATGCCGAGGGGCGGCTGCGGGACCTGCAGCGGCAGGTGCAGGAGCGGCGGGAGCGGCGACGCGATGGCTTGGCCAAAGCGCATGGCCCGAACTCGCATCCGCCCGAGAACTTCCGTGAGCTGCCACTCTACCCGTCGTATGCCGACATCCGCCCCGACCGCAAGCCCTTCGTGCGGCCCAACATCGTGTGCGGACGCTACCCGGACGCGGCCACCTACCTGGATGTGCAGTTCCGGCTGTTGCGTGAGGACTTCATGAGGCCGCTGCGTGAGGGCATCGCGGAGGTGCTGGGCGCGACGGCCATGGGCGGTGCGCATGCCCTCCACGCCCGCTTCAACGACGTGCGCGTGTACCCGGGCGCGAGCGTGGTGGCGCCCATCTGCACGCCGCAGGGCCTGGTACACAGTGTGCGTTTTGACGTGGCGGCGCTGCGCAACGTGCGCTGGGAGAACTCCAAGCGGCTACTGTTCGGCTCGCTTGTGTGCCTGTCGAGCGACGACTTCGCCACCATGCTCTTTGCCACGGTGGCCGAGCGCTCCACTGAGGACCTGCGCAGGGGCTTCATCTGCGTGGCGTTCGCGCCCGAGAGCAGGGGGTTGCTGCGCGCCATTGGGCCACGCGAGTGCTTCCTCATGGCCGAGAGCACGTCGTACTTCGAGGCGTTCCGCTACGTCCTGGAGGGCCTCAAGGAGGTGGACGAGAATGAGCTGCCCTTCGGCCGCTACCTGGTGGACTGCGAGAAGGTGGTGGAGCCGCCCCGGTATCTTAGGGATCCGCAGCTGGCGAAGAGCCCCAGCTACGACTTCTCGTGCCTGCTGCTGGATCGCCACGCGACAGCCAAGGCGCAGGTCATGGCCCCCGCTCTGCGGCCCAAGCGCTGGCCCGCCAAGGAGGAAATGGGGCTCGATGAGTCTCAGATGAAGGCCCTGGTGGTCGCCGTTACCCAGGAGCTCTCCATCATCCAGGGACCGCCCGGCACTGGTACATGCGTGTGTGCTCATCGTCTTCGTTGTCATCATTGTGATCATTGTGAGGGTTGGGTCGGGGTCCGCCAGGTTCCAACAGGACCTCCAAACCACTCATAAAGCCATCCAGCTCTTGGCGCATAGCCACTCCTCAGCCCAGTCAACTGAAAATGAAGAACCACCGACTCTTACAAGAGACACTTTGGTTTAACACTTAGGCTTTCGCGACCAATATTATTCATAATAAAGGTTTTTAGGTTAGATCGCGTTATTTATAAATGTGTCGTAACCCTCCACCACCCGACACGGCCAATCAGCAAAAAAGTGTCACGTTGACAAAAGACAATTAGTTCACTACTTTAGCCCACCGGTGTGTTGAAGAGTGAATCCACAACATTTACAGTTTGAAACTGTAAATGTTGTGGCTCATCATGAACCAATGCATACTTATATTCTTAGTTTTTTTCCGGTAAAGTCACGTTGAAGAGAAACAACAAAATAATAAAATATATATAAAACAAAAAATTCTCACGACGTTTCGACCATAACTCAAACGGTCATCTGAAGATGACCGTTTGAGTTATGGTCGAAAAACGGTCATCTGAAGATGACCGTTTGAGTTATGGTCGAAACGTCGTGAGAATTTTTTATTGTTTTATATATATTTTATTATTTTGTTGTTTCTCTTCAATGTGACTTTACCGAAAAAACTAAGAATATGAATTACTGCAGTCACGAAAGCTTTAAATCAAAATTCAATGCATACTTGATACCTTGCAAAAAGATATCTGCAGTAGATTTTTACATAAATTAATAACTCACGGATTTTCCTGAAAGCCCAAATTAATCATCTCAAATCAATTATACATTGTTATTCTTGGAAATGTTTATTGCAAGTCACGTGCTTAAACCAAACAAATATGTTGCTCCGGTTAATCTGAAAGCAACGTAATCGCCCCTACAGTACAGTAGTTGCATATATTTACAACAGTGGGCGGGGTTTTATTGATTTTGATTGGCGTGGCTCTGCTGTCATCCACTTTTCTGCTGGGCGGGAGCAGTAAAGTGCTGTTATCACTGAGCATGCGCATCGATCGTTGGGATTCGTTCTAAATCGAAAGAGTAACAAGCAATCATCAGTTGTACTTCATTTTGAGTGATTTATCTGTTCATTTAATTAGTGAGTTTTAATTTATACCCTATATCGGTGGTTTTTTGGCATAGAGATCTGCGGAAAATGTCTATATTTTTGGATTATCCGCGATTTTTATTTATTCGCTGCCGTCCTCCCCGTCATTAGCACGAATAATCGAGAGTCGTACTGTATTTGGTGTTTGAACAGAAAGGATTAAACCTATTCGTATTTTTTGATCATTTTGATACTGCCAAAGAAGGTCCCATAGATATCATCTTTGTTGTCATCGTCATAATGAAAACCATCATTTCAGGATCCTCACTATCAATGTCATGGTCCACTACACGAGACCTGCCGGGGAGTAGAGTGTGGGTAACTCCGATCTCTTCCAAGACCTTTGTTTAGCGTGGAAGAGTAAGCCAAAATAGCATGTAGAGAGGTGCTGTACAGCTCCCTCTGACGGAGACCCTTCTGCAGTTGCAGGGCTGCATTAGCGAGGTCTCAGTTAATTAAATGTTCATTTTTACATCATGAGGCGTCCTTTGCCAGTACCAAAATATACTAATAGGGTTTTTCCCCTTTCTTCTGGAAACAAAACTGACACCTTTTGCAAGGAATCATGTTCACATTAACCACAATACTTGCAGTCAAATGCAAACAAAAAACAATACTCTGATCATTTATGCATTGTCCTTGAAACTGATTGGTCCACACCATTATCAGAGTATTGTTTTTTTTGCATTTGACTGCAAGTATTGTGGTTAATGTTAACATGATTCCTTGCCAAAGGTGTCAGTTTTGTTGCCAGAAAAAAGGGGAAGAACCCTATTAGTAAATGTTCATTTTGTTAACCTAATTTATTCATCCACCTCTCCGTTGCTGCGATGGTTGCAGGAAAGACCTACGTGGGCCTCAAGATTTCCGAGCTGCTGCTGAACAACACGGCTGCGTGGAACCAAGTTGACCCGGGTCCCATCTTGGTCGTCTGCTACACCAACCATGCCCTGGACCAGTTCCTCGAAGGTGACATCTCTCTCGCGCGCGATCGTAACAGGACGAATGGAGCATCGACCGCCTGTTGCAACTTTTCCCGCTGGATGAACGCCTCCCCACGTTTCGTCGTTCCACGGGGGTCAGGGCCCCCCCCCCCCTCCCAGAGGTTCCTGGGGTCCGGGGTAGAATGGTTCGTGGGAAGGCCCTCATAAACGGAACAAATATTACCATTGTGATATTGAGGCCCATGGCGATTTGTTATTTTGTCTATTCCTCGCTCTGAGCGAGCTCAATGGGGGTTGTTTGATCGTGCGTGTGCATGTGTGTGTTTGGCGCAGCGGTTAGCGCACTGCACCACGAACCCTGCGACCCGAACCTGAGTTCGATTCATGCTCATGACCAAGTGTGCTAGAGTAGTAACCGATTACCACGTTTGGTTAACGTGACAACTCCTTACTCGACACATTCATGTTTACGATATCCAACTCCAAAAAAACCCTTTATTATGAATAATGAGTAATATTGGTCACTTGTTTTTGTGCCCCGTCCCAGGAATCACAAAGATGGTCTCCACGGACAACGTGGTGCGAGTGGGCGGCCGCTGCTCACGAGATTCCCTGGAGAGCTGCACGCTGAGGAAGCTGCGCATGAAGCACCGCGACAACAATCCGGCGTACCTCCGCAGACTCTTCTACGAGGTCTCAGCTTCCCCTGGCGAGCCCCGAAGCCGATGGGAGTTCGCGATGGCCGTGTCGGGGCGGGGGGTTGAGCCGGCGCCACCGTGGGGATTGGGGATTCGGACTCTGTGGCCCACTGGTCCATCCCTCACCCTTTCTCAGGGAAACCGTGATGGCCACTGTAACTTAGGGCATCGCGGTGGCGAGATCTTAACTACCTCTTCTGGTATACAGGAGGTCGTGGGTTCAATCCCGACCTTGACGCCTGCTGTATATTTGGAGTTTTGCGGTGTCTTTCTCCCCGTGGTCACGTGGATTTTTCTCCGAGTCCTCCGGTTTTCCCGTCCACATTTAGAATCGGCGTGCAAGTATTTGGCTGCTATAAATTTCCACGTGATAAGCCTCTTTGTTGAACTATCATTTGTGGCCAGGTCACTTCTGAAGAAGAGCTGTATAGCTCAGTGGGCCTTACCTGGTAAAAACATTGTTTTCAAGTTTAATAGTAGCTCCTCGTGACGATCAGAATTGGAATCTTTATTTAGACGGGAGGAATCCATTGAGCTCCGAAGCTCTTTTTCTCACGATATCGGCGGGTCAATGGTGATCCGACGTGAACTGAACGGTGGTGTAAAGTGGTGTTGGACAAATTGGAGGAAGACTTCCCAACACAAACTTGGAAGACTCGAACCCGAGCAAGAGATAACATGAGTATTCCCGCGTTATTCACGAACCTGCTATCCGCGATTTCGGTTATCCGCGAATCGCATCTGGAACTCTACACAACGGCATCGAGGGAGAGGGAGAAATACGCGACGAGAGATAAAGTGAAGAGATAAAGTGATAGGATAAAGTGGTAAGATAAGGCGATGAGAGAGAATGTGATGCGAGAAAGTGATGAGATGAAGTGCGAAAGATTATTTATGTATTTATGCCAAGATCATGATCTGCAAAATTTGCTCATCACGAACGTATCTCCGTAACGCATCCCTCGCGAATAACGAGGGAATAGCGATGGCGCGGCGGTGCCAGGAGTGGCCGTGCACGCCCGCGAGTCCCCGCTCTCCTTCGTGGCATCCCGCGGCCCAGCACTTGCCCCCAAAGTTTGCGTCGGCGGGATGAGAGCCATTTTGTTTTTTTTTTGTTGCCGTGGGTCGCGCGGGCTTTCCTTTTCAACTTCCATTCGGGGAGGGGGGGGGATGGGTGGTCTCGCAGGTCTCGGTGTGTGTGTGCCAGGCTAGGTGTATGCGGAGGGCGTGACCGCTCTGCCCGCCACTCCACCCCCCCCCCCCCTCCCCCATGCAGGTGAAGACCGAGATGACCCAATGCCAGGAGATACTGGAGCAGAAGACGGCGCAGCTGATGGCCGCTCACTTGGGCATCCTCAGAGACTCGGCGCTGATGAGCCATGTCGACAGAGAGCACTGGGAGCAGCTGGAGCAGGTCGTGAAGGTGAGTTGTTGCTTACGATTCGAGCGACGGTCCCTCTCTTTGTGGCCTCGCAATCTCTCTTGCGATTGCGTCTGAACTTTGTCTACTCTTAATGGCAGGCAATGTTAAGGACAAACGTCAATGTACATGTGTATTTTAAACTTCTTTCGCCACCGCATGTAGCCAACCGTGCTAATCGGATGATCAACTGAAGTGAAGTCAATTTGATGGCGCTTTGAGTGGCACAGATCTACCACTCACAGCGCCATCATATTAATGTGTGTTGTTCTATGCCAGTGCAAGGAAATGTGATGTTGAGTTGTGACCTGAATGTAGCGATGGCGTTGAGTGTGCAGATTGCTTCGGGGAGATTGTTCCAGAGGTGTGGTGGTTGGTAGAGTGTTTAGGCTGAGGAATAAAGTGATCGGTTGTTTGGCTTGATCTGCATCACCTTTCTAATGTAAGGTGGGGAGAATTCACCCCGAGGCTAATTCACTAACGCGGTATTTTCTCTGCATGACAGCTCTAAATCTGAGGGTAAAAATGTCAGATCTGGCAACACCCATCGCTTTGGGGGTTGAGGATGGTTGCCTCGCCTGGTATGCAGAAGGTCGTGGGTTCCATCCTGACCCTGTCGCCTGCTCTATGTTTGGAGTTTGCATGTTCACCCAGTGGTTGCCGTGGATTTTTCTGCAGGTCCTCCGGCTTTTCACTCTACATTGTGAATCAACATCACGCATTCAGAGTATTTGGCCACTATAAATATCCACATGACGATAAGCCGCTTCGTACAGCTATCGTTTATGGCCAGGTCGCTTCTGAAAAAGCTATATAGCTCAGGAGGCCTTCTTACTTTGTAAAATAAAAAAAATCGTCGAACAGTTTAGTTTTAGTCGTTTGAATCCACGCTGAAGACACGACGCCTGTTTGCGCGCGAGCAGCAGTCCATGAAGCAGATGGTGATGGGAAGCAAGCGCGTGTCATTCATCATGGAGTGGCTCGGCCTCGGATTCTCAGAGATCGGAGCTCAGCAACTCCCAGGCGTGCACGGAGGTGAGAGGCTACAAGGCGTGGTCGTGACGGGCACTGCAGGATCCGACCGTGTCCATCCAGTGCTCGCCGATCCCGCATTGGCTACCGGTTGCCAAACAAACACGTTATCAGGTCGCACTCAATACACACAAGGTGCTTGCCACAAATGAACCACAATAACTTTCTGATCTCGTCAAGGAGCAAAAACCATCGTTACGCAATCTCCGGTCATCCTCGCAGCAGAGGTTTGTGGCTCGCCAAAGACGGTCACCGCATCGCACGCTCTCAGATGCACTCCTGCGGCTGTCTGGAACGCTCCTCGTTCCGATGTTAAGAAGCCACTGGAGCTTTGCACTTTTAAATAATGGAGATTGAAAACGAATTTTATTTAAAACTGCTTTTTGTGTTAAATTTGTTCTCCTTCCCCCGCACCTCCGATTTACACGGAGGTGTGGGCCCAGGCCTGTGGAGGCCGGAGCGAGCGTTGGTGGATCACACACACGTGCATTTGTAAGAACTTTCTCCCTGCCCGCGGGCGTCGAGTTCATCGTCTCCTGGCTTATGTGCCAGAGTATGGCGGCAAAGTCGGTTGATTTCAATCTATACGCCGATCGGGTGTTCCCATTTCCTCCCATGTGAATGATCACTCATTGATGAAGTGAGCACAATATTGCAACATAGGACAGCAGAGCTTGGGGAAGTTGTTGTTGGTGCCAATTTCTGGCTGCTGCCTTCCCACTTGTCTGTGGTTTCCCATGTCTCTGAATCATTCTCTATCTCTCTCTGAGACCGACAAGCAACTACGCGCGTTACAACGCTGACAAACGGTGGCCTGAGCTGTATCGGCATGACCTCGCCGTGTGCGCGCTGCGTCCAAGCAGGGGCACAGCCAGGACAAGATGAGGAGGAGCTGGAGGAGGAGCTGGAGCTGGAGGAAGAGCTGGTGGGGAACCTGATAGAGGAGGACCGCGCACAGCAAGATAAAATTGCGGAGCGGCGCCGCGCGATGAACGAGCTCCACCGAGAGTTCGTCGCCTTCAGCGTCGAGGACCGTGGGGCTGGAGAGGATGGGGAGGAGGAGGAGGGGGGCAGGTGGCAGGTGAGGGTTCCTGCCGCTCCGCACTGCCGCCACCTTCGTTTGTCAGCTCCCACGGCTCTGTTTTGTTTTCTGCGGCTCGTCCGTCTAAACTAAAACTCTTAAACTACCCTTTGTTTAAATATTGACTTAAAGCTTTCGTGACTGCAGGAATTAATATTCTTTGGGTCACATACATGACCAAAAGACCCAAAGAATACGTTTTGTTTCACCAGGTAAGGCCCCACTGAACTATGTTGCTCTTTTTCAGAAGCGACCTGGATGTCACAAATGATAGCCCAATGGAGTTGCTTGTCACCCTGCAGAAATTTGCAGCAGCCAAATACTCTAGACGCACATTGATTCTAAATGTCGCGGAAAAAACTAGAGGACCTGTAGAAAAATCCACGTGACCACCATGGAAATATACAGGAATCATGGTTGAGATCGAACCCACAACCGCCTGTATATCAGGCGAGGTAGTTCACATCGCGCCATTGCGGTGCCCCAGGTGTCCACACTTGCCTCTTATTCTGTCTGTACTGAACGTCACGAGACGAGGAAGATCCCTTTTGATTTCTCGCAGAGCGGCGCGACCCTTCGCATTAGAGAACGACGCATGGAAGTGGCTATCACGGATCTACATCTGAGATCCCTTATTCCAATGACCTCTTGTCCGCACACAGTAGAGGGCAACACTTGCTCAGCACATGAGAGGCAGGTTCCTCGCATGACAGACAATTCGATATTTTAGTTCTCAGAGTTGATAATATAATTAATAAAAAATAGCCGGAACCAAATTCTTTAGTGCAGTCATTTGTGACAGGGCTGAGACCAGGAACTCGCTCCACTTGTACGTGTATTTAACTTCTTTCACGCCATACGTGGCAAACCATGGTAATTGGAGGTACGGGGGAAGGACAACAAACTAAACACAAAAAGCAGTTGATTTTATCTCCTGGTTATATAAAGGATATGGACACCTGTAGGACTGGGTTTGAACACAAGCAGCTGCCTGGATTCGAACCCAGCAGCCTCGTTGGTGCTGGCTGGGCACTCTGACTGCTAAGCCGCCCAGTCACTTCAGAGCGATTCTCATCTAGCGATCGGAAGGGATGAATGGGCCAAGTCTGGGCTGTGGTGGCTATGCTGTACGTTTCTGCTGTGAACCTGCACTGGTAAAGGCAGTGAGGGTTGGTGGATCACAGCACATGCTGGGAGTGTTGAGTTGCCATACCCTGGCTCGCCAGGAGAAGGCGGTGCAGCAGGTTAACTAATCGGGGGATAGAGCGTTGCCCCTCCCCCCCTCGCGCAAGGCGTGGGTTTTCTCCGGGTGCTCCAGTTTCCTAACAAACACAACCTCGTTATTAATCAGCTGAAAACATCCTAACATAATAACTCCCAAAGTAGTGGCAGCGGCAGGACCCTTCTGAGGAGGAGTCTCACGACTCGGCGTGACCCTCTCCGGATAAATCGGCGGTAACAAAAAATACATAAATTAGACTTTTGACCCGAGACGTCGAGCCTGCAGCCTTCTGACGGAGAGCCGAGCGCTCAAACGGAGGAACTCGTGACGGAGCAACGCGAGCAACCGGCGTCGCGTTCCTCCCCCGTGGTGTGCAGAGCACCATGAGCAAGCGGAACATGAAGAGGATGGTGACGAGCGAGCTGAAAAAGTCGGCCTTCACGTCTGACGACGAGGAGAGACAAGTCCAGAACGTCTGGCACCTGACCATGGCAGAGCGGTGGCGTTTGTACCGGTACGAGACTCCCGGTGCTGTCTCCTTCGTTAAAACCATTTTTTCTTTCTTTAATCGTCTAAAAATTGGGAACACAACTCAAATGCGAAGGCACGATAAAAAGCGTCAGCTGCTTATTGATCTCACGGTGGCTCGCACACCATGTCAGACGTTCTGGCAGTGGTGGACCGTTGATCCAGCTTTGGGGAGCTGCAAACTCCACCTCGTCTCAGCTAGTTGATGCATGCAGGCGGATTGGCTGACACGCCCATATCTGGACATGCCTGTGATGAAGAGCTTCGTAGCTCATCCGGATTCCTGATTGTGGATTCTGTGAGAAACTGGAATGCAACGGGGACGATTGCTGCAACCGCGCCACCGCTTCTCGCGAGACCCGGCCTGGTGTGAGCACAGCGCCGCCGCTTGTGAATCCCTCAGCGTGCGTTATCCAAGACCGGAAAACCAACAGTCTCTCCAGGCTATATGGAGGATCTTTATCTTTGTGTGTTTGTGTGCACGTGCCATGCAGGCTGTGGGTGACCAGGTACCAGACGAGCATCCGGGACATGATCGCGGCCGAGGAGGACCGGTTCCAGAGGCTGGCGGACCAACTGTCAGAGGTGCGGGACGAAGAGGACTACGGCATCCTGAAGGAGGCCACTGTCATCGGCATGACCACGACAGGCAAGGCCCCTCCGCACAACCGCATTCGCAAACTTTCATCTTTGTCCGTGTTTATGATCTCGTCAAGGAGCATAAACCATCGCGCAAACTTCGGTCATTTTCGCAGCGGCTTTTGGCTGGCCCTTCCGATATTCGGAAGCCACTGGAGCTACGCACTCTTAAATCATCTAGATTGAAAACTCATTTCTTTAGAACTGCTTTTTGTGTTTGGTTTTGTTGTCTTTGCCCCATACCTCTGATTAGCACGGTTGGCTACGTACGGTGCGAAAGAAGTTCAACAGACATACATGTATCGAAAGTTGAAGTTTAATGTGCAATTGTATTGTCACAGAACGCTTCACACAGATGGACACATTAAAACGTGTATCACATGACAGCAATTCCTCGCCAATCACAGGGGGTTAGGTTCCTGGAAAATCAGCGATTGGTAAAGTAGAGGGCCAGTGGGAAATAGTGGATTAGTGGAACCACGTCCAAGGTCAGACTCGTCATAGCTTAACTAAGTTGCCTGTTTATTAACTAAACACTGAATAAAATTCAGTACAATAACATAAATAAACACGACATTAACTTTACGTACCTTTACTATTAACGATGGTGATGACGATGGGGAAAGGGGCTGTTTAGAAAGAGTAGAGGCTCAGCCCACCCTCCCCTTCTTCCTCCGGGCCACAGGCGTGACACTCTCACCTTCACCACTCGCTGCACGCTTAAACTAACTTTATCGGTACAGTACTTCTTTGACGACGTCACACAATACAGTGATGTCATGCTGGAATGCAATGACGTAATATACACGTCATGTGACTTCCTTAACACCGTGCTTACCTGTGGATACTCAAATTTCCAGGCCGCAATTGGTAAATTGGTATAATAAACCATGTATACATGAAACCGCGGTTGGCGATGGATTCCTGTACATCAATAAGAATTTAAATTATGCATCGTAATAAAAGTTACATGACGATAAGCGACTTCGTTGAGCTATCATTTGTGATAACCAGATTGCTTATAAACAAAGAGCTATGTAGCTCAGCGGGCCTTACCTGATTAAAGAAAAAATAGTTTATATTTGGCCACGGTGCGCTGTGACGCTACGCGGAATGGCGCAAGTGCGCTGGTGACCTCCGACGAACTCTGGTGACCTCCGGCACGTCGTCCGTGTCCCCCCCCAGGGGCCGCCAAGTTCCGGGGAATCCTGCAGAAGGTGCGGCCCAAGATCGTCATCGTGGAGGAAGCGGCCGAAGTCCTGGAAGCTCACATCATCACCACGCTGAGTAGCGCCTGCAAGCACCTCATCCTCATTGGGGATCATCAGCAGGTTTGTTGCCCACAAATACAAAGGAGACATCACAGCGATACACTCCGCTGCTCCTGATGCGGTTATCTGGCTTGACCACCTGAATGTGAAATTGTAGTCGTTGCTCTGCATCTACATCGGCCGTACGGAAGAAGGAGCAGGTTTGTTCGGAGCCTCCCGTCTGTCCAACCAACTCCTGGCCAGTTACCGTTGTCATCATTGTCATCTTCGTCATCGTCGCACGTCATCGCGGTTTTATCTTTGCCGTTTGATCACTATAATCTTCACCATCGCCGTCATCTTCATCGTGTACCATCATCACCATTTTCGAGATAATCATTTTCAATGTCATCACCATTATAGATCGAGCTTCATCGTCGTCGTCGTCATCGTAACCACTGTCTCTGGCTGTTGTTTTATTACACACCCTTGCGTTTGCCAGTGCTTTTGACCGATGCATACTGAACGTGTACATCATCAAGCGTGTCCATCATCACCCCACCGTTATCTCATCGTCAGCATCACCACCACCATTTTCGGCATTGCCTTACCAGGGGTGGTGCGCCTGTTGACTGGGTAGATTATCTGGGCTACACATTAAATGTGCTTGCGAAAACACAATTGTGTTCACACGTGCATTGATTCCACGCGAGGCACGCGTGCATGCGTGTGTATATCGAGAGCGTGTGTGTGTCTATTGCGTATGTGTGTGCGTTTGTGTATCGCGTGCATGCATACATCGTGTGCGTGTGTATATCGCGCGTGTGCGTATATAGTGTTGCGCGCGTGAGCCCGAGCGTGTATGTTGCGTGCATCGCGAGCGTTGCGTTGCTTCCCCCATGTGTATTTGTTGTCCGGCCCCACCGGCAGCTGCGGCCGAGCGCCAGCGTGTACGAGCTTGCCAAGCACTACAACCTGGAGGTGTCGCTCTTCGAGCGCCTCGTCAAGAACGGCGTCCCCTTCGCCCGGCTTGGCATCCAGGTGAGCGCTGCGCCGCACCCGGCCGCCGCACGCCGTTACGGCACTCCGAACTAAAACTGAACTCATTTTATCGTGCCAGGTAAGGCCCACTGAGCTGTATTGCTCTTTTTCAGAAGCGACCCGGCTATCACAAATGATGGCTTATCATGTGGAAATTTATAGCAGCCAGATAATGTGAAAGCCCGTTGCTTCTAAATGTGGAGGGAAAAACTGGAGGACCCAGAGAAAAAGTCCATGCCACCACGGTGAGAGAGCCACACAAACTCCAAATATACAGTAGGCATCAGGGTCGGAATCGAACCCACGAACTCCTGCATACCAGGTGAGGCAGATAACATCTCGCCACCGTGGGAGCCACTCGCCTTCATTGCCACCTCCTTCACACGCTGGATTTGGAATCCAGAGGTCACCGGCGTGGCAGTTGAAACAACAGCGCCAGTTCCTTAAATCCACCGCACAACCCTTCCACCTCTGTCCACCGAGTTGAAGGAATTACATCTCTGGCCTCTCTATGTGCTGGGTAGAAGGGACATGGCCTGAAACGTCCCCATTTATATACTTTTATTTGTTAGGACATACACAGCGTTATTGACGAACGTGGCGAGGTTGGTTTTGTCAGATAGGGGCATCGCAGTTAGTCAATCGGCAGGTTTCCTATCAAGGTGGGGTGAAATGTGGGTACTCCCACTTCTTCCAAGACATCTGGGCAGTTTGGAAGAGTAGACCAAGATATCCCCTAGAGCTCCCTCCAGTGGAGGCGCTTCTGCCAGCAGTGGTGTGAGTCGGGCAATTGCAGAGCTGCGCCCTTAACTCTTGCCTTCAACGTTTCCAGGGTTAGCACAGTGTGATATCATCACCCGGTAAATGTACAACGTTGGGGTGTGGTTTGGGGCATGGTAGTTGGAAGCAATGTCGGACCAACATTACCCCAACGTCGGCCCCACATTACCCAAACGTCGGCCCAACATTACCCCAATGTCGGACCAACATTACCCCAACGTCGGCCCCACATTACCCAAACGTCGGCCCAACATTACCCCAATGTCGGCCCAACATTACCCCAACGTCGGCCCCACATTACCCCAACGTCGGCCCAACATTACCCCAACGTCGGCCCAACATTACCCCAACGTCGGCCCCACATTACCCAAACATCGGCCCAACATTACCCCAATGTCGGCCCAACATTACCCCAACGTCGGCCCCACATTACCCCAACGTCGGCCCCACATTACCCCAACGTCGGCCCAACATTACCCCAACGTCGGCCCAACATTACCCCAACTTCGGCCCAACATTACCCCAACGTCGGCCCAACATTACCCCAACGTCGGCCCCACATTACCCCAATGTCGGCCCCACATTACAGACGCGAGTGAGATCCGACCGAGAGAAAAGTGTCCTTGGCAAGGGATGGCCGTGCGTAACGAGACTCTGTGTTTTCTGCACGCTCACGCACGCGTGCACACACAGCACCGCATGCGGCCGGAGATCGCGAAGCTGCTGGTGCCACACATTTACGACCGTCTGGAGAACCACCCGTCCGTGCTGGAGTACGAGAACGTGAAGGTGAGGGCCGTGCGCTGGGGGGAGAGACGCCTCGGGGCCCCGCGCTCGAATCCGGAATGTAGATGAAGAGTCGATGAACAATAACCCGAGCTGGAAATCTCCGCCGTTCTTACAGAGGGGGTCGTCGCGGAGGAAGGCGCCGTGGTTGCGCTTTGCGAGCTCCACGGAACGTCCTGCGCCTCGAGTCCACCGATGGCAGACGCGTTGAGAAGTGGAGACGGATTATGAGATAAAAGTAGAGACGGATTATGAGGAGATAAACACGTCCATGGCAAGGGAGAGGCGTGCATAGCAGGACCCTGTCGTGTTCATTTCAGCAGCACGTTTTGTCTTAATGAAAAATAAGAATAGGTTTTTGCCCTTGCTGGCAATAAAACAGGAGGCGTTCAGGCGTAAAAACACCAAATAGAAAACTTTTGCAAGGAATCAAGTCTGCATTAACCACACACGGTACTTGTGGCAAAACATGCAAAGAAAACATTCTCTGATTGGCCTACACCAGAGACAACAGCTTTCTTTCTGGCCTTGTCTCACCACCAGTGTTAGACCAGAGAACGCCAAAAGGGGAACAGTATGGAGACAATGCAAGTGTAGTGCGGTGGATTCAGAAGACGCCGGAGACGGTTCTTGGAGGCAACACTTTATTAAAACACCTCGCTCGGCAGTACAGTCCCAGTAGACTCAGGGTTACTGTCCTCCTACAGCTACTGTCTAGGGAGGTACTGCCTCTGGGCTAATGTGCCCTAACACAGGGCTACACTCAGGGTCCTCCTAAAGCTACTGTCTTGGGAGGTACTGCCTCTGAGCTAACGTGCCCTAACACAGGGCTACACTCAGGGTCCACCTACACCACTGTCTAGGGAGGTACTGCCTCTGGGCTAACGTGCCCTAACACAGGGCTACACTCAGGGTCCACCTACACCACTGTCTGGGGAGGTACTGCCTCTGGGCTAACGTGCCCTAACACAGGGCTACACTCAGGGTCCTCCTACACCACTGTCTAGGGAGGGTACTGCCTCTGGGCTAACGTGCCCTAACACAGGGCTACACTCAGGGTCCTCCTACACTACTGTCTAGGGAGGTACTGCCTCTGGGCTAACGTGCCCTAACACAAGACTACTCTCAGGGTCCTCCGGCTATGGGTGCCTAGGGGGAGGCTATTCTAACTCGCCCTAGCCAGGGTGCGAGTTCCGACCACTGACCCATTGGACCCGGCCCTTACAAGGACGTCGGGCCAGGGGTTCCCAGGGTCTCACCGCTGAGCCGCACAGAGTCCCGGCCCTGATAAGGACAGCGGGGCTAGGGGGTCTCAGGGTCCTATCTAGCTGCTGCTCTTCGGCTTTGGTCTTCAACTGGTCGCGATCGGCTGGGGAGGTCCCCTTTTATGCCCTTTGCTCATCGAGGGGTAGGGCTGCGTGGGATCCCAGAACCCCCGCAGCCCCCCCCGTTGGGGGCGCCGAGGGGCTTAGCTGTCTGGGATCCTGAGCCCCCAGCAGCCCCTCCCCTCTAGGGCTGGCACTGCAGCCCCTCCCCTGACGGTACGGGGTACCGTTCCATCTACGGCGCTACACAAGTATCAGAGCTATATACAGGGGGTGCCTGATATACGTTGGGGTTAGGGACCAGAAAGTTGCGACTTATAACGAAACGATGAATCACGGGGCATTTTCCCCCATAGCAAAAGCAACCAAAATACGGACTGCACATGTACACTACCTGTACTACACTGCACAACACAATGTACACATTTATAACCAATTCTGAGCAGCCCTGTACACTTTAAATCGTTTTATGACATTTTTAAGCAATGAGTCGAACAGAAAACCATTCTTAGTGTAAAGAAAGCAGACTCTTAAACAGCATTTAATTTTTTTTACCTTAACCTATCATTTTTATACTCTTAACTTGAGGACTGGATGAGTCGTGTTGAAGGGTTGCGACGATATTTTGCGATAAAGTCTGTGCCGATTACAACGAGCACTCGTAGCTACGTACGCGAGACAACACGATGGCGGCGCATGCGTGAAATCCGAGTTGCACAGTACCTCTACACCCCCCCACCCCTCAGAACCGAGTCAAGCCGTATACACACTCGGCCAGTTACCGTATACACACATGGCCAGTTACCGTATACACACTCGGTCAGTTACCGTATACACACATGGCCAGTTACCGTATACACACTCGGTCAGTTACCGTATACACACTCGGCCAGTTACCGTATACACACTCGGCCAGTTACCGTATACACACTCGGCCAGTTACCGTATACACACTCGGCCAGTTACCGTATACACACACGGCCAGTTACCGTATACACACTCGGTCAGTTACCGTATACACACTCGGCCAGTTACCGTATACACACTCGGCCAGTTACCGTATACACACTCGGCCAGTTACCGTATACACACTCGGCCAGTTACCGTATACACACTCGGCCAGTTACCGTATACACACTCGGCCAGTTACCGTATACACACTCGGCCAGTTACCGTATACACACTCGGCCAGTTACCGCATACACACTCGGCCAGTTACCGTATACACACTCGGCCAGTTACCGTATACACACTCGGCAAGTTACCGTATACCCACATGGTCAGTTACCGTATACACACACGGTCAGTTACCGTATACACACTCGGCCAGTTACCGTATACACACTCGGCCAGTTACCGTATACACACACGGTCAGTTACCGCATACACACACGGTAAGTTACCGCATACACACACGGTAAGATACCGTATACACACACGGCCAGTTACCGTATACACACTCGGCCAGTTACCGTATACACACACGGTCAGTTACCGCATACACACACGGTAAGTTACCGCATACACACACGGTAAGATACCGTATACACACACGGCCAGTTACCGTATACACACACGGTCAGTTACCGTATACACACACGGCCAGTTACCGCATACACACACGGTAAGTTACCGCATACACACACGGTAAGATACCGTATACACACACGGCCAGTTACCGTATACACACACGGTCAGTTACCGTATACACACACGGCCAGTTACCGTATACACACACGGCCAGTTACCGCATACACACACGGTAAGTTACCATATACACACACGGTCAGTTACCGTATACACACACGGCCAGTTACCGTATACACACACGGCCAGTTACCGTATACACACACGGCCAGTTACCGCGTGTGTGTGGTCTTGCTCGGCTGCTCTGCAGTCTCGAATGACGTCACGAAAACTTGGACTGTGTCGTCGCTCAGGCTCGTTCGTCTCATAACGGTTGCACTTCGGTTTTCCGGCGGGTGGCTGTGGCCATGTCCATTCGTTTTGCATCTATCGCAAACGTTGCTGACGCTGTTGAGAATTAGAATATTATATTTATACTGGAGGAATCCGATCAGCTATAAAGCGCTTTTTTCACAGATGCCCAGTAAGGGACATTGGGCCAGAATTTTATAACAAACAATGCAAAAAACACGGCATGAGTTCAAAGTATAGGAAAGGTCAACAAATCACTTTAAATTTATACAGAAAAGTAATCTAAATACTCTATTGGCAGGGCGTCGCCACGAACCTGTACTTCGTGCAGCACTCTCACGCGGAGGTGGAGGTGAAGGACAGCAAGAGCCGGCAGAACCTGCACGAGGCGGACTTCGTGGTCGCGCTCTGCAAGCACCTGCTGCTGCAGGGCTACGCGCCGGAGCGCATCACCGTGCTCACCACCTACACGGGCCAGCTGCTGGCGCTGCGCAAGCGCATGCCGCGCGATCGCTACGGCGGCGTGCACGTGTGCGTCGTGGACAAGTACCAGGGCGAGGAGAACGACCTGGTGCTGTTGTCCCTCGTTCGCAGCAACGCCAAGGGCCAGACGGGCTTCCTAAACATTGACAACCGCGTGTGCGTGGCGCTGTCGCGCGCGCGCATCGGCTTCTTCATCGTGGGCAACGCAAAGATGCTGTCGGCGGTGCCCCTGTGGAAACGCGTGATCGGCGAGCTGCGCGCCGGCGGGCGCATCGGCCCCGCGCTCACGCTGCGGTGCCAAAACCACCCGGAGCGCGAGACGGCGGTGGTGACCGCCAAGGACTTTGCACGGTCATCCGAGGGTGGATGCGAGCTGCTGTGCGAGTTCCGGCTGGACTGCGGGCACGTGTGCACACGCAGCTGCCACACGGAGGACACCGACCACAAGAAGTTCAAGTGCCAGAAGCCGTGCAGCCGCACGATCTGCGAGCTCGGGCACCGGTGCCGCCGGGTTTGCAACAAACAGTGCGGGAAGTGCACCGAGCCCGTGGCCAAGACGATGGCGGCGTGCGGGCACAAGCAGATGGTGCCGTGTCACGTGGACACAGCGGACTTCTCCTGCCTGGTGCCGTGCCCGAAGCCGCAGGCGTGCGGCCACGCATGCCCCCTTCCCTGCGGCAAGGATTGCCCGGCCTCGTGCCTGGTGCTGGTGAGAGAGACGCAGGCGTGCGGGCACGAGTGCGAGGTGCCGTGCAGCCGCAGGCACGAGCCCGAGCCGTGCCACGCGCGCTGCCAGACGGCGCTGGCGTGCGGCCACGCGTGCCTCGGGAACTGCCGGTGGTGCAAGAACGGGCGGTGCCACGCGGCGTGCGGGGAAGCGTGCGAGCGCTCGCTGCCCTGCTCGCACCGGTGCACCGAGCCCTGCGCGGCGCGCGGCTGCCCCCCGTGCGCGCTGCGCTGCCGTAACCGTTGCGTGCACAGCGCGTGCGCGCGGCCGTGTGGCCAGCCGTGCATGCCGTGCCACGAGCCGTGCGAGTGGCGCTGCGAGCACCACATTTGCCGGCGGCTGTGCCACGAGGAGTGCGACCGCCCGCGCTGCGACGAGCCTTGCCGCCGCCGCCTGCCGTGCGACCACGCGTGCGTGGGCTACTGCGGGGAGCCGTGCCCCTCCAAGTGCCGCATTTGCCACGCCGCCGAGGTCACCGAGATCTTCTTCGGGAACGAGGACGAGCCGTCGGCGCGCTTCGTCGAGCTGGAGGACTGCAAGCACCTCGTCGAGGGCACGGGACTCGACCGGTGGATGGAGACGAGCGACGACGGCGGCGGTGGCGGCGGCGGGGGCGCGGGCGACGGCGGAGAGACGGCCGCTATCGTGAAGCTCAAGGAGTGCCCCAAGTGCAAGACGCCGATCCGGCGGAACCTGCGCTACGGCAACATCATCAAGCGCACGCTCGGGGACATCGAGGCCGTGAAGCGCAAGCTGTGGGGTAGCGACGAGGAGATCGCGCAGGCGAAGAACCGCGTGCGGGAGATCCTCGCGAAGGTGAACCCCAAACCGCTGCCCGCGTCGCCGCTGCACGCGATGCTCAACCTCCGCCACCTGCTCCTTGGGGACAGGACGACGGAATCCGAGTGGAAAATCCCGACGGATTATCTGAGTGCGCTGCTGGCGGAAGAGCTGAACCTCCTGCAGATAAACGCTGTGGAGAACAAAGCCATGCTACTGGCGGACATCGCCAAGCTGAGGCCAGAGCTGTCGAACATCGGCACGGAGAGGAAGGAGGTGGTCAAGGAGGCCCTCGACGAGCTGGTGGAGTGGATGTGCGAGCAGCAAACGGCCGGGCTGACGGAGCAGCAGCTGCAGGACCTGCGGACGGAGACGCTGCGTTTGAGCTTCCTCATCAAGGTGCAGGCGGGCATGAGTGTTGCCAGTAACGTGGCCAAGGTGTCCGACACAGCGACTGCGATCAGCGAAGAGATCATGAAAAGTGAGCGTGTTTCCAACTCAGTTGTTACAATCATCCTTTGTTGTTACTCATTGTTTTTTTCGGTAAAGTCACGTATTATAAATACAATAAAATTATATTAAAACAAAAAAAACAAAAAATATATAATATAATTTTATTGTATTTCTACATACGTGACTTTACCGAAAAAACCAATGAGTAATTTTATGCAGTCACGAAAGCTTTAATACTTTATTATCCTTTGTTGTTGTCATCGCCATCATCATCACCTTCCCTTACTGTCATCAAAAAGAGCTAATCACATGTTTGGTTATGGGACTTAATTTGGCTACATTCCAGCTCTGCGAATGAAACGCAGAGCTGTACCGTGTGTTGTGGTGATGTCTGATGCTTTCCTCCGAGTTGATTCTAAATGCAGAAGAAAATACCGGAGGACCCCGGAGATATGTCATACAGCACAACCGCGAACGCCTACGTGAGCGATCTAACCGGAGTGCCCAATCATTCCATCCCTCTGCTGTGCGCACTCCTAGCTCTCACAAACAAGCGCAGGTTCGGGCCCGAGCAGGAGAAGAAGGTGCGCCGGCTCGCCAAGAGCCTCAAGGAGGAGCTACCCAAGAGCGGCCTCGGCATCTCGGACTCGGAGCGCGCGTCCATCGTGAAGGCCATCGGCCTGAAGCCAGGCCACTGGTACAAGTGCCCGCGCGGCCACGTGTACGCTATCGGCGAGTGCGGCGGCGCCATGCAGAAAGGAACGTGCCCCGAGTGCGGCGAGCAAATTGGCGGGGAGCACCACCGCCTGCAGGCCGACAACGCAGTCGCCACGGAGATGGATGGCGCGCAGCACGCCGCCTGGTCAGACACCGCCAACAACATGTTCAACTACGACGAGCTGCGCGATTTGCTGTGACGCGTCACGGGCCCAGGAGCTGCGGTGTGGAGCCGGCGTACGGGAGGTGGGGGGTCGGGTAAACTCGCCGATACGTGTTCGTTGTGGTCGTACCGCGTACAGCAAGGCCGTAATTATAATATATTTTGGTGGGAACACATCCCCTCCAATATTCAAATATGCTACAAATATCCCCCCCAATATATTGAAGCCGTTGCTCGACTGCTGTGGGTAGGTACAATCAATGTCAAACACTGTACTGTCTCTCCATTTCATTACTTTAAAATGTATTAAAAAGTGTAAAACTAGAATGTAATTTGAGTGTTACGTAGGGTACATCACTGTCGAGTGGAAACAAACGTTTTTTGGTGAAAACGGGCCAATTTGCGATTGCTAATCAATCAACCATCACTAACGTTAGCTAACATAGCTAAGTAAATTACTTGGAAAGTTAATTAGCCACACATTCACCAACAATGGCGCTCACGGGCGTATTCTATTAATGTGAATGTCTTTATTGTGTTATATTTGTCAGAAAGCCCACGTGAAGTTTCAGTACAGTGTCAATCATGTATGTTGCGCTGCACGTGTCATATTTGTCGACAGTAGTAGCTTTCATTTATTGCATATTCGTATAGTATAGTGTATAGCTGTACTTGCTTATGTGTTTCTTTGATTATGTGTTTCTTTGATTATGTGTTTCTTTGATTAAAGTGCAAGCAGTTTTATTACATTTAGCTTACATTCACAATGAGTGTTATCATGAGCAACTGGAAGGGTGGCAGTGACATTCGTAAGTTTTTGGGCTGCCTCAGAAAAGAAGAAAAGTAAGTTGAGAGCAGTGAAAAAATCAGTACCAGTCAGATTGTAGTGGGTTCGATTGAGGCGCACACTCAACTTGGAGGCAACACTATTAACGCATAACAACCAACTGGAACATTATATACACAGGGTGGTGACCACCGTTCCTAATCTCACTAACACTCGGGGAATACTACACAACGTGATCCGGGCAGGTGACGGGCTGCCTGGTCACGGACGAAGGTCGGAGACTCCCAAGACCGCTGATGGCGTCTTCATCCCGGGTTGAACAGCCCCGCTCTCTGTTCACGCCCCGCTTATAACCGCTGCGGCATGGCCGGCTCCGCCCCAGGTCACGCCCCCCTTCTTGATCCTTCGAGAAGGTCCGGGCCCCCAAACCACGTGACCCCCAAGCTCCCCCATGGGGACCCTAGCCCCCCTTTATCGGGTCACGTGTCCTGTTGGGTTCACGCAGAGTGTCACGGCCTGACACGACCCCCCCTGACACCCACCTACAGCACCCGCACCGAGCCAACACAGTGACGTCATGTCCCTACGCTCGTACAGTCCCGACACAGTAGTGACGTCGTATGTCACTACAAGATGATAGAAGTATACAGTAGTACAAGAGATGAGTCAATGTTTCTCGATATAATAATTGCCATTCAGATCATGAAAGGTTATTAATCCATTCCTGAACATTATGGCAAGACACACCACTGTTTACTGATAATAGTTATTTCATCTTCACAAGCAATCGTCTTCTTTTTTCACCTGAAGACAATTGCTTGTGTTGTGATCGAAACGTCGTGATATTATTATTTTGATTATTTTTTCTATCTACGTGGCTTTACCGAAAGACCCAAATAATTTGAATTCCTAGCATTCACGAAAGCTTTAAGTCAAGATTTAATGCATAGATTTCTGTTTATATCATTGTGGTTATGGTTGTACTTTATTAATCCCTAATCTCTGCCATTACATACTTTGTATGTATAAACTTCGAGGGAGACTTCTCTCTTGGAGGCAACGCGTTTACTTGAGATAAATGAGAACAATAACAATAGCCGTAACACTAAGGGCTATGGCCCCTGCAACACCACGGGGTACGGCCCCGTCACCCAATAACCTAAGGGAGGTACAGCCTCCCTTCTAGCGGGCCCTACAGACTTCGGGCTACGCTCTCACAGGTCCTCCGCTACGGGAGCTAGGGGAGGCTAGACTGACCCGACCTAGCCAGGGTACGGGTCTCATCGCTGGTCCGTTGCAACCCGGCTCTTACAAGAGCCTCGGTTGAGGGTCCCAGGGTGCTGGACTAGTCTTCAGATGTCTTCGGGTCTTGAGTGGACGAACACTGCTGGTCCCGTTGAGAGGACCGGCTTTCATACACAAGTTGGGGCTTACCACGCCCCTAACCACACCTTCGCCCGAACCTTCCAGAAGGGTCTGGAAGGGTCGGGAATTAGCCGTTGGCCCCCAGCCCCCACCCCTTGGGGGTCTGGGGTCTCTATCTCCGGTCACGGGGCACCCGGGGGGGGGGGGGCGGGGGGGTTTACCCCAGGTTAACCACTACATCTTCCGCTCACTCTCCCGGCCGCCCCCTTATCGGCCTGTGAGCGTGGTGACAGTCAGAAGACAAATATCAGAAGACATATGGCGCAACACATACAATAAAACAAGAAAAGGTAAAAAAGGAAAAACAGAGCAATGTAATACAATACACTATTAGACATTATTGTAAAAACTAAATAAAAAGTACATCCCATGTGTTAGTGAATTTTTTAATACATTAGGCAGGAAATTCGTTTTAAAATTTCGATTTTTTTTCTGGGGGGGGACCCCCAGACCCCCTGGAAGATTTGGTCCCCCTCCCAACGTTGACTCGATGGCTACGACCTTGGCGTACAGTTACAATGAGTAAACAATCGCTGTTTCAACATTAATACTCGTGTACGGACTTAACCATTAAACCAGAACTAGCCATGCCCGATTTCTATCCTATGCTTTCGCTTCACCGAAGGTTTGCATTGCAAAAGTTTGGGAGGTCACTTTGAATCCTCATGAGCAGTCCAGAAGGATGGCTTATCAACACTTGGTTGGCTTGTAAAGTAGTTTTTGGGCCTACTGGCTTTTCAAACGCCTAAATTGTTTAATCATTGCATTGGTGGCAGCGGTGGTAAGGACTTGGCTGACAAGGCTGAACTGTAATGGGCAATAAGTATTGGTGATGAAGGGTGTTTTGACGTTTGTTTTGTTGACGACCATTACAGCCACGGTGGCAAGATGTTAACTCACTCGCCTGATATATAGGAGATCATGGGTGTGATCCCGACCCTGATACCTGCATGTTTGGCGTTTGCATGTTCTCACCGTGATAGCGTGGATTTTTCTCCTGGGCCTCCGGTTTTTCCCTCCACATTTAGAATCAACATCACACGTTAAGAGTATTTGGCTGCTATAAATTTCCACATAAACCCCTTTGTTGAGCTATTATTTGTTGGCAGGTTGCTTCTGAAAAAGAGCTACATAGCTCGGTGTGCCTTATCTGATAAAATACATATAATTTTGTTCAGTATTATATTTAAAAAAGGATATTTCACAAGTGGCGTTATTATTTGTCACCTGTGATGAATAAAACATTTTACCTGTTTTGTAAAACTGTGCTTTACCAATGAAGCGTCGCTTGCCTAGTGTTTGAAATACACATTTTATGACGTTATGAAAAAGGGCTTGTTGGCATGCGGGAGTGTGGTGTTGTTAATCTCACACTTTCTGTGCTGTGTTTAGGCAAATGGTATCATGGCTACAGAGTACTGGAATAGCAAAACAGCCAAAAAATGTGAAATAACTGAAAAGTACATGGCCAGCTGCTTCACAGGGTGTCTTAAAGTCTCCTTGGTGGTGTTTTTGTACGGAACAGAGTCAGGCCATGCGTAATGGGCTTATTTGAACAAATTTAGCTGCACATTTACGTTATTCGGTGAAACTGCAGAGCAGCGTCACCCCCCCGTACTGGAAAACTTTACCCATCCGTAAAACGTGGGCGCCTTCATGGTGGCTATGCAAATGGCGCCGATGACGATGACGAATGTGCGTGCCATTGTATTGCATTAATTTTCAGTAACTCGACCAGCGATGGCACAGGGGTCGGCAACCAAAATAATAAGGACCATTTTTTCCCAATTTGGTAAAACACAAAAAAACCCTCTATTTCAAGAGCCGCACAGCAGTCCTTGAAGAACGGCATGTGGCTCCGCAGCTGTAGGTTGCCGACCCCTGAGCTCGCACTTTTTCAAAGCAAATTGAAGTCAGTGCCTTCGTAGATGTTGCGCTTTTTGGGGTTGTATTATTTCGTTGTTTGCTAAAAAAAATTTGAATCCCAAATGGTTTTTCGGGTTGGTCTTTTCCGGACGGGTCTGCGTGTCGAGGAATTTCTTCTCTTAAAGCTTCCGCCATGCATTACTGTGCAAACTCAACACACAGGCCAACCGGGAAATCCACAGTTGTTCGCGAACGGGTTTAATAAAATTGTAAATCTCACATTGAGCTTATTAGTGTCACTTAATATATGCATACTGTATGTGCACCGTATAACTATATGCATGTATGTTGAATCTCGTTTCGTACCGTACGTAGCCAACTGTGCTGATCAGAGGTGCGGGGGAAGGACAATAAAATAAACACTAAAAGCAGTTCGAAAAAGTTTAGTTTTCAATCTAGATTTAAAAGTGCATAGTTCCAGTGACTTCCTAATGTCGGAAGGAAGACCATTCCAGGTGGCCACAGAAGCGCATCTGAAAGTGTACAATGTAGTGATCGTTTTTGTTCAATGGTGACCACACTCGAGTCTTTTGTTCAAAAGAAGTGCCACTACAAGTTGTTTGGCAGTTTCCTGCCCCGAGTGGTGAACTGTCCACCCCTCATGATGACTAGAGCCAGAGCCGGTCCACCGGGCCTCCTGTATTCAACAGAGGGCCAGGCGGTACCGGTCCATCTCCCAACAGAGGAGCGGCAGCCTCTCAAGCAATGAGAGTCGGAATATTGCACGTGGCCAAATGCAGTAGTCTCCTGTTCCTCGAGGAACCCTGAGAGGGGGGGGGTTCCGTCTGGCCCTGCCAGATGGAGTTTGACCCGAAGGTGTCTTAAATGCCTGTCCCCTGGGGTCTCCAGCACGAGATTGTGTGGATGTTTCCACCATGCTGCTTGGTAGAAGTGCCAGGTCGAGGGGTTACCAGCCCTTCGCACACACTAACCGAGCTACACACACAACCCCCACTCGCACCACCACAGCCCACACACACACAGCTTGCAAGACTTCAACAAACAGCCTGTATCGCCAAGTATCAAGGCCTACACATAACCTGTATCATACACAAAGCCTACACCACTCTCTACAGTACACCACGCTACTACACACTATACAGTAAGTCTCACTTGGCTGTACCGCACAATACTGTACACAGTGCAATACATTAAAAACCTAACAATGCACGAAATATACAGACACGAACACGCACACATATGTAGAGGTGTTACGGGAGGATGACACGCGGTTGTAGGGCGGTGGCCACAAACACGTCCGCTACGGCCACCACCCTGGGAGGCTGTGGGGGATGCTGTGATCCCTCCCAGCCCCACACCTCAGTGAGGGACAGTATAAAAGGTGGGACCCGGAGAGCTGAAAGTTCGGTTCGACTCAAGCAAGATGAAGAGCAGTGAAGAAAGAAGATCGACTAGATTTTGATTTAAAGCTTTCGTGACTGCAGGGATTCATATTCTTGGTTCTTTCGGTAAAGTCACGTAGAAGAGAAACAATAAAATAATACAAATATAAAGCAATATTTTTTATTATTTTATTGTTGTAAAGTCACGTAGAAGAGAAACAATAAAGTAATAAAAATATAAAACAATATTTGTATTACTTTATTGTTTCCCT